CAGAAAAGTTCCAACAAGTGCCCTTATTTTGAGGTTATTTTCATATAAGCTTTTCCCTCTTAAATAAATCTGTTGGGCACGAATGTGAGATGAAAATAGTGGGGTAACTTGGCAAATCAAGTTCTCATATGTAAAGAGTACATCACTCAGGGAACACCAACCATCTGGACTTGGGTTTCATCCAGTTAAATAACAAGGATTTAAGATATTTTTAAATCCTCATAATAGAGCAGAAGCAGTAAGGTTTTGGGAGTCACAAACCTCAAAATTGGGGGATGAAGAACAGGATGAAGAATAGGTTTGCCTGTCTTACCCCATTTCCTATTTTCCAGATGAAGGCATGGAATATGTGACTTGGTCAGATCACAAAAACAGATAATGATGAAACCACATCTGAAACTTAGGTTTGTTGACCAGGAACTGTTAAACAAGCTCCAATACTCACTAGGCTTGCCTTTAAATCCCTCTAGCAGAGAGCTCCCTGTACACCAATTATCAGCTATTCCTACAACTCCAGGGATCCAGCTTGAAAATGGGGTCATTAGTACAACAGCAAGACAGATTAATCTCGATAATCTATAGCACTGTGGCAATGACAGACACCAGGCAATGGGCCAGGAGCATGGAAGAGAAGCCAATGGGTCAGATTCTGCCAGAGAAAGGACAGGACTTTAGGGAATACAAAGGCCTACAGAAGGCAAGTATAAGTTAACTTCTGGTATGTACTCATTCTACTGTCTGGTCTCTTGACTTGATCCCTGCACTTTAAATGGACTCTGCTTCTGCTCAAAAGCCTGGTATTCTTCCAGTTGTCACTCTTCAGAAGAGGAACCTCACTGCTTATCATTTATGGCATTGCTACATCCATCCATCCATTCCACAAAGTTTTTCTGAGTATATATTAGGAGCCAATGGTCAGGTGTTAAAAAAAAAACAAATGGTAAACAATACACAGACTTGGTTTTTGAGAAGCTCCCAGTGGAAAGAGGTACAGAAAAATATTATATTCTGTGACTTTCTTACACGCCCTCATGGAGAACACCAGCCTTGATTACATTGCTTAAGAGAATGGCAATACTCAACACCAAAGACACATGGGCAACCCAGTCATCTACTAAGTTCCAAGATAGGAAACTTCATGATGTAGTATAAAGCCATCTACTCTAAGGGTGGTCTGCAGCCCTAAGTTCAAGCATCGCCTTGGAACTTATTACAAATGCAGTATTTCCAGGGGCGCCTGGGTGGCTCAGTCAGTTAAGCATCTGCCTTCAGCTCAGATCGTGGGATTGAACCCTGTTGTTCTCTGCAGTCAGTGGGCAGTCTGCTTCTCCCTTTTTGCCCTCTGCCCCTCCCCCACTCATGTGCTCACTCTCTCAAATAAATAATCTTTAAAAAAAAAAAAAGTGTAGCATTTCCAGCCCAACTCCAGAGCTAGGGAATTGTGTTTTATATTTTAACATAATCCCCAGGTGATGTGTCCATGTGTATATTCAAGTTTAAGGTGGTGAATGGTATATTAGAACTTATGGCTACAACTGGCTGTATCTAAAAGAGATCAGAGGAGAAACTGATTTGTGAGCCAGAATTTCTCAAGTGAGATTTGAGGAACAGTTTCTTATAGTAAAACTCATCCTTTTCAAAACCACAGGTTGATGGTTTTGACAAAGAGAGTCATGTAAGCACCAGTGCTACCAAAGTTAAAAAGAGTGGCCACCCCAAAATTTGTCTTTGTGCCCTATTGTTGTCTATATCCTCCCCATAACCCCAGGCCCTAGAAATCACAGATCTTTCTGTCCCTATAATTTCGCCTTTTACAAAACTATCTAAATGGAATAATATCGTATATAGTCTTTGGTATTAGCTTTTGTGACTTAGCATAGAGTTTTTGATTTTCATCCAATTTGTGGCATATATCAGTCATTTGTTTCTTCTTATTGCTGAATAGTATTCAATTATATGGATGTACCACAACATGTTTAGCCATTCACCAGATGATGAACATTTGGAATGTTTCCAGTTTAGGGCTATTATGAATAAAGCTGCTATGAACATTCCAGTACAGATCTTTGTCTGGACCTGTTTTCATATTCATATATATATATATATATATATATATATATATCTCACACACACACACACACACACACACACAAAATCTATTCCACTCCTATTAGATGTGTGTGTGTGTGTGTGTGTGTGTGTGTGTATCCTATATCTAGGAGTGGAATTCCTGAATCATTTGGTAAATACGTGTTACACTTTATTTAAAAAAAGACAAAAGCTTTTCCAGTAGCTGTATAAGAATTGCATTTGGTGAGCTAGAATTTTTTAATGATGAGATTTTACCAGATAAACAAAGATCCTGAGAAGTGAAAGAATATGATGGGTTTCAGGAATGAGAAATATTTCAGCAGGGATAGAGGGTAAGGTAGCTGTAGAAGAGGAGATGGATGTAATGTAGGAAAAGTATACTGTATGGACAGCTCTGTACTGCTCTCAAGTCATTTTTATGAGCTTGCTTTGAAGTTCAGAAAGCCTAGATTTTGGAATACAGAGATCATCAGGTTGTTTCTTTTCATATTGCAAAAATTTCTTTTCCATCACGTAAGTTAAATGGGAAAATACCAATTTTCCCAGTGTGTGGAAAAGGTTCTACCCACATGTCTATCCTAATCTGCTGTTTATCTGGAATTATCTAGAATTATGAAGCATGGGAATTAAAATTATTTATAAAGAGGAATTAATTGATTCTACCCTCAAGAGTCCATCCAGGAGAAGGCAGGAACCCATCACAACTAATCTTTCGATCAAAACTGCTCTCTATCCCTGCTTTGCCTCCGTGAATTAAAAAATACAAAAAACTCAAAATATTTTTTCTTTCTCTAAAAGCATTTTTCAGGGCTCTTCAACCTCTATTTTATATATATTTTATGCATATAATATATAACACTTAGTCTCTGGAAAATCAAAATGTCCTATGGTGCCAAGGAAAAAATTGGTCCAGAAGCTGCTTGGTAGGTTGGGCTGATGTGATACACACTTTTTTTTCCTCATTCTTTTCTTTTGTTGAGTTTCCTTTAGACTACGTTGACTCAGGCAAAATAGGACTGCTTCAAAGGATCTGGTAGGACATTACCTTTTCTCCCTTCTTCTCTTTTATAAACATGATGATCTCATGGTGAGTCACTGCCATTTCCTCCAAAGTTTTCTCTCTGTACATGATGTTACTGGCAGTGATGCCCCATCACCTTGGAGCCTTGGTATTTACTAGGCAGTCACCTCTCCTGCAGGTCTTCCTCTGCGGATGGGACTAAATCTAAGATTTAATGAGTTTGGGAGCTTCTTATCTGAGATCAGGAAATGACCAAGAACAGGTGAGAACTGACAGCCCCACTCTCCTTCATTTTATCCCCATTTATCTGCATATACACTCTATAGGAGTTCCAGGTCCTAAGCATTAGACTGCTTCCTTCAATGATCAGGAAATGGCAAACCCAATCATGTTCTGGTTATGTCTTATGATTTCCCTACATGCCTTCAAGTACAAGTACAGATCTTGACCAAGATGTTCAACAGGAAGGCAATATTCAACATTCATGGACTACATGGGTGTCTAATTACCTTCCACTGATTTAAGCTTCCAAGATAAGAAAATGCACAGTGAAGAATAAAGCCATCTATCCATGGCTGCAACAAAAGCACCATCTTAGAGCTTGTTAGAAGTGCAGAATATCTAGCCCTGCTTCACATCAAGCGAATTATGATATGACTTTACATAAGATCCCCAAGTGGTATGTGTGTACATTCAAGTTTGATGACAATTTCCTCAGACTGTAGGGACTAACAAAATACTATCCAAATAGAAAGGACATCTGAAAAGAAGATAGAAATGCGCATGGCTAGAGATGGATGGGAGGTTGGAGGGAAGAGTTTCGAGGGGGGTAGAGAAGGAGGAAGTTGACCAGTGTTCACAAGAGCACCCTGTTATCTCAACAGATGGGCATGAATATTACCAGCTAGGAGCCATTCCTATTGTATCTCACATGATGAGTGAGGGTTGATGCCCCAGCTGTGCAGACAGCTGTCTGCCATGAGGCTATGCACCCAGCTAAATGGGAAATCTTTTCAGAAATTTATGAGCCATACTCAAGCAGCAGCCAGAGCTCTGAAGCTCCCCATCAATCATGTCACCCCTTGTGTGCTCCTTTCCCTTGATTTAGGCAAACAAATGCAAAGAGGCCTGAACCTCATGAGTCCTTTTCCCCTCAATATGCACACCAACCACACTACCTTTTGGTAGTAATACTTGCATCTCTGTAAGATAGACAATCTTTGTTAACATACGGAGGGTCTGAAATGAGAAACTACAGCAAAATCGATTCATCCAAGTCTCACAGAATGACCTTATTTTTTGAGTAAGAGATACATGCCAGTCAACTAGAAAACCACGCACAAGAATTTTGACACAGGAACGCTCCCTGTGGATATTCACTTTCAATGCACCTCTGATTACAAATGAGGAATGGCAGATCAAGCTCAAACCATCTATTGGCGGGAGGACTGATGTTTGAATTCAGGTTGTATGACCACTACTTCAGTTTTCTCTTCTCTATTCTCTTGCTAAAATGCATGCAATAAATAAATATGTAAAATACCTAAGGCCTTCTCTTTGAAGCCCAACCCCACCAGTCAGAGCAAGTATGACTTGGGGCAAATCACTTAACCTATGTGAACCTCTGAATTCCTCCTTTGCAAATGGGGATCATGACAGCTGTATGAGATCGGGCTCATCCAGGGAGGTATGGCCATAGACAATGACAGCGATAGGAAAGCAGTGTGAGTTAGTTCAGGGAGGCACTTCTCGTAATTTCTGGCACATAAGAGACCGTCGGCAAATGGGAGACAGAAAGAGGGTTTTATTACTCCTGTCCTTCTTGCCACACAAGCGTTAGTATCTCAGCACAATCCCTGCCAGTTTTCCTCTAAATAATTTGACTCACTCATAATCGCAGTACACAGGTGCTGTCACATGGTGGTTTATTCACGGTGCTGTGCCATCTTCAGAGTCCTCATCCAATGGATCCAATGGTATTTCACTGCGTGGATTACACCCACCTGGAAAACACCATTAAGTCCATTGTTAGGTTGTTTACAATTTTTTGCCTTTAGGAATTTATCTGCAACAAACATTTTTTAGTGCTCAGTTTTGTCCATGTTTTGAGTTAGTTCCTCAAGCTAAATTCCCCAAAGAAACCATTTTGGTTCTTTGAATATAAAGAACTCTCTGAAATTATATTTCACTGTAAAAAGTACTTAAATCTTAAATCTCCACAAAACTGGGATTATCAGATTCAGAATTTCTTCACACATACACACACACATATATTCAAAAAGAAATAAGATTCAAACCTCTTTTAGACAATGACAGAATATATTTGGATCAAACAATTTTGGGAGGTATATTTTAGCACAAGGGAAGAACAGAACCTATAAGGAATCTGATAATTTCGTGTTAAAGGCGAGAATGATGCAGACAAATGCAGTATGGCTCAGAAAAGGAACAAAATGTCTGAGGATCGGATTTACAGGGAAAGACCTAAAACTAATACATATGTATAGCTTGGCTCGGTTATAAGTAAAGAAAGAAATTTGAACAGCCTCTAAGCTTTGGAGAAGTAAACATCAGAATAGAAAAGACATTTGCTTTATCTTGCATTGTATCTATTTGCTTAACAAAACTCTTAAAAAGAAGGTCCTACAACACATTTCACCCAAGTCTTCCTCCCCTAGTCTTGGCCCATTAATATCAGACTTAATTATTTATCATCACTAAGAAAGGAGGAGGAAGAGTCATCTTCTAGGTCATGAATGAGTCTTATCTACACTTTCCACTGCTCTAAACTAGCTGGGATAAACCAGAGAGCAGGTGTAAAAAATGACATGGGATTATCATTTAGCTACAGAGTTTCACAATCTAAAAAATATCAAATTACTGTCTCCTCCTCTTCTTTCTGATTCTGTTTCTTCTGAATGTGGACTGTGGGACAGGTAGACCCGCCTCACACTCAACAGAGGGAAGAAACATGAATGTGCCTGCCTTATGGAATGTGTCTTTTATTCAACCTAAGAAAAGTTTATCAATATGCATATTATCATGCCATCTGAACCTTATATGCCATTGGTATAAGGGTTTCATAATACTACTCAGCAACAGTTTTTAAAGAGCAAGATTCAAGAATGCCATTCTGACTTGTATAATTCAGAGAAAGATTATAAAACAACATTCCAACACATTACCCCACAAAAAGCACACCAAATAGCACCATTTGTAAGCAAAATAATAAAGGAAAAGAATAGTTCAAGAGAGCAACTGTGAAAAATAAAAAAAACACACAGACATTTATTTGAAAAGGGCCCCACTCAAATCTGTTTTACTATTTATGAAGTTGTTAAAGTAAATGAGAAATGAAGTATGACTCTCAACCCTAAGGCCATAATATTAAACTTTCTGTAACCCCAGAACTCTATCTCCAAACAAAATCTTACTTAGAAACTCAATATATAAAGTCAGAGAAGTAAGGTGGAAGCCGGAGTACAAATTTGGGAATTCCACCAGGCCTGGTTAACTCCACAGAACCCCAAAATGGGTGGGGGGGACCCCGGTGTGACACCACAATCCTAAGAGAAGCTGGAAAACGGAGGAGTTTGAGATGATAGTGATGGCAGAAAATGAAAAAGAATATGGAGAGTCTCCTTAAAAGGGAAATTAAAATGGAAGAGAAAACAGGGGTGTAAGATTGGGATGGTCAGCAGAGAGGGGAATAGAAAGGAAGAAAAACAAATCAGTGTGTTTAATGTTAACTCTCTCAACTTTTTGCCCAGAGGAGTTGCTTTTTAAAGTGCTCTCTGACTGTTAAGACAGAAAATGCTTTTTTTTTTTTTTTTTGAGACCCATGATAAATGGTGTCAGATGATGGCACTGGACCAGCCAACTTCGCTAAAGCAACGGTAGGACAGAACCACATTTCACACACATCTCGCTTCTCAACCTTCAGAAACTGAAATACATGTAAAATATAAAGTAAGACCTTCTAAACAATAGTCAACACACCCCAAGATACATTCAAAACAAACACCAAAAATGTTAGGAATATAGGAACTCATAGAGCAACCAGAGGTAACACACAGCCTTGCAGGCAGGGTGATCACTTTCCACCTAATGGGAATTTTGAATTTCCCACCTGCCTGCCCATACATACCTCTGAGCCAGCCACATCCAACTTTCCAGATCATTCCAGAGCTCTAAATCCCTATGAGCCATTCTCTTTGACGATAAACATATCACTACACCTCTCTTTTACCAAGTCCATATAGAACCAAATATCAAATATGGTTGCTCCATCCTCAGACTTGACAACACACTTTGTCCCATTTGTTGTCCATGGTAGGGCTTATCATAACATTAGATAATCATTTGTGGGGTATTTTCCCCTCTCTTATTAGACAGGAAATATCATAAATAAGGGAATTGAACTTCATTCTCGGTACCAGCCCAGTGTCTAGCACACAGTGGCAATGAAAGTCTTTAATGAACAACAAACAGCAACATGTACTGAGTGTTCATTATGTGCTAGGCACAGAGCTTTAAGCCCTTTACATCCATTATCCCATTTAATCCTTAAAACAAAACAAAATATTCCTTCTTATTTTTGTCATTTTACAGACACGCAAACTGAAACATCTAATTGTTGAACACCTTGACCACTTACATAAGTCCAGCAACAGGTGATGCCAGACTCAAACCCGAGCAGCCAAACCCAGAGTCCCAGCAATGAACCACTAAGCTGACTGACTAACAAGCAAGAAAGAAAATGAATGTAACATAGGGCAAAATTGAGAGATTTTAAGGATCCTTTCAATCTAAACATTCTAGGTTCCCAATGATATAAAAAGTCCTACTTTGGGGGTGCCTGGGTGGCTCAGTGGGTTAAGCCTCTGCCTTTGGCTCAGGTCATGATCTCAGGGTTCTGGGAAGGAGCCCTGCTATGGGCTCTCTGCTCAGCGGGGAGCCTGCTTCCCCCTCTCTCTCTCTGCCTGCCTCTCTGCCTACTTGTGATCTGTCAAATAAATAAATAAAATCTTTTTAAAAAAATTTCTGCTTTGAATCTTTTTTTTTTCTTGACAGAGACACAGTGAGAGAGGGAACACAAGCAGGGGGTGAGGGAGAAGCAGGCTTCCTGCTGAGCAGGGAGCCCAAAGCAGGGCTCAATCCCAGGTCCCTGGGGTTGTGACCAGAGCCAAAGGTAGATCCTTAACGACTGAGCCGCCCAGGTGCCTCCCTGCTTTGAATCTCAGAGCACTTCTGCCCTTTCTCTTCCTTGCCTAGCCACCCTTTTCATCACTGTGCTTTGCACAGATTTGAGGACTTAAGAAACTCTGAAATAGACATAAGGCCCCTTCCCAACTCAGCAGCCTGGATGTGTAACTCCATAGGTGGGTAAGCATCTACGTAGTGACAGGAACGTGGGTGGATGATTCATAAGCAACCCAAAAATCCACCTCTAACAGCTCCCATCCCTGCCGCTCAGTCTAAAAAGTTAAAGGTTGAGTGTAAATAGTAAAGGACAGGGGAAAAAAAAAAAAGGCTGGCGGGCTTTGGTTCATAGAGCTAAATAGTAATAATCCCTCGAAACATTATTTTCCTTCTGGCTGCGCTCTCAATGGCCATTTTGAGTTCAAAACACAACACTGTGTATATCCATGGGTGAGTCAGTGAGTTCATGACCTGATGTGAGTCACTCTGCCTTAAGCAGAATGCTAGTTCTGATCCCTTTCTTTTGGAAGGAGTTCTGAAATTATGATGAAAGTTAAGATTTACTTGCAAGGATACCTTTCCAGCAGCTCTCTGAGGCCTGCCCAGATATTTGCAATAAACAGACACATGGGCCTCCTCTGATAAGAAAGGAGGAAAGGAAGGAAGAAAGAATGGGAGGGAGGGAAGGGAAGGAGGAAGGGAGGGAGGGAGGGAGGAAAGGGGAGAAAGGGAAGAAAGGAGGGAGAGAGGGATGGAGGGAGGGAGGAAGGGAGGGAAGAAATATAGAAATGTGAAGTATCAAAAGCAAATAGGAATGGAAATCCTATGCCCTCAGGCATGGGATGCTTGGATGGAAGCAGGAGTAGTTGTGAAGTACTATTGCTCTTGGGTATTCTCATCAATAGATTTGAAGGGTCTGTTCTTTCTTGGCTTTAAAAGGAGGGGGCAGTGGTGCAAAAAATAATTACTGAGCTTCTGTTACGTGCTGGGCTCTGGGCTGTTGAGATTATTGTAGTCAATGAGGTAAGCATTGTTTTTTCTCTCATGGAGCTTATAGTTCCATGATAAGTCAGCTACAAAAAATCAGCAGTGTAACGGGTGCTCTAATGAAGACATTCAGGGTGCTACAGACTAACATGAGAGCCAGAGACCCCACTTCAAGGGCAGGGAAATGCCCTCCCCCTATTCAGAACTTCTATTAAATAGGTAAGAAAGTATTTGCTAGGCAGAGAACAGAAGAGAAGAATGTTCCGGGTAAAGGTTATGTGCAAAAGTGCTGAAGCTGAAATGAACATGGAACATTTAGGACTCTGAAAGCAGTTCAATGAGGCTAAAGCACAGAAAGGGTAGAGGGAAGGCAGGGAATTCAGAATCTGGGAGGGTTCATTGTTTATCAACTGATCAATATGAATTTATCAACTCCTATCATGTGTAAATCCTGCCTTTTTGTAGAGTTAGAGGAATATGAAAAAAAGATACATTAATTCAGTCTACTTTGGGGCTTTCTTCCTTATTTCTTTGACCAAGCTGAAACTGGCCATCTCACTCACTGTATTGTGAACCTATCCATGAACATGGTGTCTTTTCCAAAAGGCTTAATACCCTGAGATCAAAGGTATCATGTCCCTGTAGGAAGCAGTTCTCTGTGCACTCACAAGTTTTACAGCAATAGTATGATTTCATTAAAAAAAAAAAAAAAAAAACTTCAAGATATGTCACCTCAACATATGGTATTATTACTAACTACATACTTTTTCTTTCTACCTGCATAGGTTTGGGGATAAAGCAAGAGTATCTTACT